ACATGCTCCATTAACAGTAGTCCGCCCACTGTTGCCAACTTAGTGACTTTGTTGCCATATTTAGCAATTTCTCAGACCAAAAAAAAAAAAAAAAAAAAATTAAAAAAGGGGGGGGGGTTATTGACAGGTCAGGCTTTTTATAAGCAGGCGATTGGCCAGAAATGTGCACTCTGCACCAGGACAGCATAGTAACCACCATCAACAGCTTCACAAGCATGGTCAAACGTGTAGAAACAACTTTAACTTGTTCAGTCAGTGCAGGTAGGAGCATAAACAGCTAATATTAATGTAAATAATAAAGAAACTGAAACTGACTAAACAATAGGTTTGGTCAAACATGCAAAAATAAACTACAACAAACCAAATGGTTCAGAAAGTGAAATTAGGAATTATAGATATAACGTAAAATAAATAATAGAGCATGACATCACTTGGAGCACAAAGCATAGAATTAGACTGAATAGATCTGCCCTTGTGGATTGGACACGTTGTCAATGATGTGGAATATTTTTCTTCAACATTAATGTTTTAACAAAGTGAAAATAAACAGAGTATGACTAAAGTATTAAAGCTGTTGGGATCTGGTTGGGGTCAGCAGACTTACATTATCTTTCTCTGGGTTGCAAACCTTCACCCACAGAATGTGATCCAGCAACCAGTCGATAGGCTTGTCTTTGTGGAACATGAAGAAGAACTCGGCTATCATTGGAAGGTCTCTGGTCTTAAACATCTTACCTGGAAACCCCCCCCACACCAAAAAAAACAAAACAGAATATGCTAGAACCAAGCATCTGAGTAAGTATCTCTCTGCGATGCCGTGTGGAAAGACAAACACACCTATAAACCCAAGCTGGGAGAATTCCAGGTAGAGCCATTCGTTAGAAGACGCCTGTGTGGCGAATGCCTTCATGTCGCTATAGTAACCGTTCTTTGCAAAAACATCGTCTTCCAACTAGAAAACACACAAGAATAGTTAGAGACTTACTTCCACAACATTTTGTAGAGAAATGAAATTAGTGCTGGAATAGAACACAGTGTAGCATTAACTCATGAGTTGAAGAAATGCTGAGGGAAACATCACGCCACATTTGGAATTCTAAAAGTCCTGTAGCTTTAAGAAAATCTTGACTGTCACCTCTTCAACAAGATCACAATTCATCGGTCTGGGGTCAGAGGTCAGTGTGATGGACCTGTCAGGTAATTAATTGTTTAAGCTGCTTAATGTTAGTCACTCAGGGTCACATTTGTTTGCCTTCTGGTTTGCTTTGGCCATTTTTTCCCAGAGTAAATATTTGCAAAGCATTATTTTGCATCATTTCTTTTGTCATAACCCCAGAGCCAGGTTGTGACATCAACACACACCCTAATTTCAAATATTGATCGGCATAAGCCAGAAACTATTAACGTTTTTTTTCCTGTTTTTTTTTTTTCATGCTTTTGTCAAATGTTTCAAAGCTCTGCTTTGTGTGATGTACTTTAACTGAAACATTGTTTCTTTCTAACAATCTAAGGAATAAACATAGTTGAATATTAAATCTATATTGGTTCTGCTGCCAATATCATTTCGACATCTGGGTATGAGTGGAACTGTATAAATTAGAATATTATGAAAAAGTCCAATTATTTCAGGAACTTTAACACCAAGTGAAATTACATAGATTATGCGCAGATGGAAGCCTTTATTTCTATTAATCATGATGATTTACACTTAAAGTTAATAGAAACATGAAATTTAGAATCAACCACCAGTACAACTTTGTTTCTATTCTGAAAAGAATTTTGATGCACCAAGACAGAACTCTGACCAAGGATTCTAAAGCCTTCTGCTGCCAATATCATTTCGACATCTGGGTATGAGTGGAACTGCATCCCAAAGCCTCACTCATTTAATCTAATGACTAGGCCTGTCACGATAAATGATAAATTAAACCTATCGACCTCATTTGAATTATCGGCTTTATAGTCTCTTCCTGCCTTTACTCTTTCTGTTGCTGACACTGAATGAAAAAAGGTTCAACTCCGGTGCTCTCCACGGACCCTCCCTTCCTCATTTCCTTAGTGTAATGTCTAGCGCACGCTACACGAGTTGTCGGCCGACTGTCGGCCCATTTTCAAAACCTGAGACCACACATTAGCCGACAGAAATACTAGGCATAACGGTTCAATCGGGTTCGTCGTGCCGTGTGCACAAAATAATGGCGCCGTGTCAGCTGTTTGGGATTTCCCTCTGTAATTTCCTCTCAGAAAGCGCGAGGGGAATCCACAATTTCTGATTGGCTACCTGTCACATTCAACAGGCTGCGATAAGCTCCCAGTCGGAGAAAGTCCCTGATTTAGATCGGAGCGGCCAAGACTATCTACCGTAACACACCACACACTGCAGGATGATTGGTTACGAAATCACCAGCGACAATCTTAAATCGACCAACGATCTAAGATTGTCGTAAAATAGGGGCAAAAAAATCGTGTAGTGTGAACTATTGCATTAGGTAGTCGGATGTGCCCATCTTCTCTATTTAAATCTAGTGATTACTGAAGGGCAATATAGTATACAGACTTCATAATCTGCACTCTTTTGGTTGAATGCAGTATTTATTTCCACTTTGGCTTTATGTTGTTTAGTTTTTATTCAAGTACGTTTTTTGCTAATGGAGACTGAGAATCCATTTTATTTTTGTTTTTGGTTGTTTTGTTTATTTAGTTTATTAGTTCCAGTGTTATGTGTTCTTTAGAAAATAAAGTGCATCTATCTATGGCAGTAAATTGCATGCATTATTAGTCATTTCCATTAAATCAGTGTCAAAAGGTCTTGAAACAATATTATCGTTTATCGCAATAATTTTTTAGACAATTAATCGCTCAGCAAAATTTCTTATCGTGACAGGCCTACTAATGACACAGTATAGGGATTAGAGATAGGAAAGTTAGGTGTGATTTTAATTTCTTATATTAAATTCTTATTTTGTTGATTGTAGAAGCTGTTTGTAAATTTTCCCCTGCTAAAGCCTGCTAATAAAAATGTATTAAAATATCTAATTAGAGTTGTGGACAGTTAAATTAATTGAGTCATTTCATGAGTTCTTTCTTCTGATCAAGGTAAAACCAATGGTCATGATTCTAGTAATTAGGGAGCTTCGGACATTTCTTTGGTGTTTATAAAATAATGACCTTGTGACTCATGCTGAGTCTCTAAAATTTATCTAGACCACAACAAGTGCACATTATTGATAGAGAGAGAGCTACCGTTAACAGAAGCAGTTTCTGGAACTAAGCAGCTGTAGGGCTACTCAGTTGACTGTTTCATTAACTGAAAAAGGTCATAGCTTCTGGATCGGAGGTAGTCAGAGTCTAGACGCATCTCTCTCGACACCAGCTTAAACAGATTGTCCTCTACATACTCAGCTGGAGTAATACTAAGGAATTAGAGGTTTTCCGGACCTGTTAGATGGAGAGCTGGCCAGCAGTCAGTCTGTGAGAATTGTGAGGAGGTGGATATGGCAACAGACTATTAAGTCAGACCAATAAAAAAAACATATTTAATACAGAAATGTGGGCTTAATTAGAAACCTACTTCACGGTTGTTATTTTCAAGAAATACTTTAAATTTGACAATCAGGCCTCATCTGAACTCATTCAAATTCATTGAATATGACTGTATGAGGCAAATCTAAATTTTTTGTACAAATTTTGAACAAACTGTAAAGTGTGACATTTAGAAAACATATCATATGAAAACATATATGAACAAACATATTCATCTGTAATTTAAACTGTATTTCCTATTTAATGTAAACACAGCAATTGCAAAATTGCGTTTTTTCCAACATTTGCAGATTAACGACAAAGTTTTGTGCACATTTGTAATAGAAACGCAGCTGGTGAGTCCACAGCTTTTCTGACACCACTCACAGGTGACATAACTCCAGTCATGATGTTCAAAATGTCTCATACATGAAATCTCAAGTTGGTTCATGGTAGAAATCTAAAATCACCTGAACATAGTATGTTCCTTTGTCCTGCGCGTACAGCATGAGGAAGCTGTAGTCCAAATTCTGCTTAGTTCGCCATCTGCAAAACAAAACAAAATAAATGACCGTGTCCTGTGTATCTGTGAGATTAGCAACAGGAGGAACACACATCATTCTAACATTCTTATCACACAGGAATGTTCATGATCAGGCAAGCTGTGGCAGGCACAGGTATGCAGCAGAGCAGGAAGTTATGTAAGCAGACAGCGAACCTCCTCATCAGTCTAACTGTGCTCAGCTGAATAAAATGACAAAAGAAAAAGCAGAAAAAAAAATGTCCTTCTGATCAGATCAACAGCAGAGCTACAGAGGAACGGATGAAAGGCTAACAAGATGCCATAAAAATGTGACTCAGGTTTTAACATGGCATTTTATGTCGACTTTAAAAAAATAAAATCTTCGGAAGTCAAAAAGTGAAAGTCAAAAACTGAAAATGATTGAGAGTGGATATTTTCTCTGTATTGTTTAGCAGCAAACATTACTGTTACAGTATGAAAGCTGTCTGTGTCTAATAAAAATCCAAAGTTCACTCAACCACAACCCTGCAAAAATACTATATCTTACCAAGTATTTTTGGTAAGATTTGAATCTGTATATTTTAAATAAGTAACTTGTCAGCAAATACTTGTTCCTCTGGTAGATTATTTCACTTACAACATGGGAAAATGTCTTCTTCTAAGTGAAATAACCTGCCAGTGAAACTATTCCTTTTTTTGAAAATGAATATTAAGAAATTATTGACTTAAAACAAGCTCCCACATCTTGCTGAAAAGTTACTTGCAAGTGAGTTTTATCTTATTTCAAGTGCACTAAGATATTTCACTAAAAACTAGATCAATAATACTTCAGAGGTTTTAGAATGAAGAATTGGATGAAATTGGGCAGATGAGTAGAATGTTTTGACATGAATGATTTTAGCAACAAATATTATCTCTTCACTCAGACTTACTTTGTGCAACAGAAGCAATATTATCCTGATTGCTTTCAGTTGCTGGTTGTAAAATGGAAGCTTTAAGCTTAATTCAAGCTGGGAAGACTCCAATCAACTCATCGGCCTCTTCCATTACCACACCCACGCTTCAATCAACAAGCACCCGAGCACAGCCACTCAAGCCAATCACCTCACAAGAGTTCCTTCAAAAGCACCAACAAAGATGGGCTCTCCAGCCTTTCAGCCGCGCTTCGACCCACCTCCTTCCCATCTCCACCTCCATTCGGACGAGCATCTCCATGTTCCCTCCTTCCTAGGCTCTTTTCCACCACCGGTGTCCGGACCCGGGGGAGAAGACTACCCTGAGCTCCGGCCCGAGCCAATCATCAAATCGCTTGATGATGTTCAGCACAAACATCTTCAGCCGGGCCCGAACGCCAAAAAAGAATGCAGTCTAATAAATCTTTCTAACTGATGTTTTTTCTCCGTGTGAGTTTCTCCAGATTGAAATATAATTAAAGCTGCAAGCAGCCTCGAATGGCCCTCGCAGCTCAGTGCGGCTCCAGCCTATTGGCCACTGCGGGGGTTCCAGCACCGCCGCCTGTCAGCCACCGCAGACGCTCGCATAGTTCCCGCATCTGTCCCCGCCAGGCCGTATGCAGGCCATATGCATGCATGAGTTCAGCAGCACTCACTGACGACTCACCAAAAATCTGGTGCAGATCGGCCGATGTAGCGAGGAGGTATAGCTGATGGAATAACCTAGGGGGTGCAGTGGAGTCAAATTGCAATTCAATGCTGTTGGGCTCTTTAGCGGTGAATAAAGGTCATACATATCCAGTTTGGTGCCAATTGGATGTTCCATGTGTGATTTAGAGACAACTATATGCATATAGCGAGGGACTGCAACTTGTCATTTGGCCACGCCCACACGGGTTCAGCCAACAGCATGCATTAATATCATGTAATTTTAGGTTAGTTGGCACAGGATTAAACCCATAGAGTAAAAGTAAGACGTACAGCAGAAAAAAACAGGTGACTTTCTGTCGGAAGTGGGTAGGGCTAATGTGATGTCATTAATTGACCACCTAAATGTGATGAGTGCTGATCTGTAGTGAGACATAGGAAGTCTGATGCAGCTGTGACCTTGTATGTGGAAGTTATCGCACCTTGATGTTTTATGGCAAATAGTCAAAGTTTGGCACTTAGCCACGCCCTGGTGCTTTGATGTACAAAAAATCCTGTGATAATTTTTGACCTGCAATGTCTCAAGAGTGTGCTGAGTGAGTTTGAAGTGTGTATCTCAAAAGCTGTAGAAGGAGTTTGATCAGATATGACGTCTATAAAAAAGAGGAAATGGCGGCTTTGATCCAAAGTGGCCGACTTCCTGTTGGGTTTGGACCATGGCTCCAAGAGTCTTTTTTGTCCGTCTTGACATGATACACATGTGTACCAAGTTTGATAATTCTAGGGGCTTGGGGCTGATCATTTAAAATATTCTAGGGGACGCTATAGAGAAATTAGGCCACACCCACCAAAGATTGTTATGGATTCCTGTCGGCAGGTGGATAAGGATCCATCCTAGTGAGTTTGGTGCAGCTCGGCTCAAAATTGTGGAATTCAGAGTCAAACGTATGGCAATGGCATTACGGGTCACTTCGCCACGCCGCCACGCCCACTTACTCCATTGAAAACAAAAGGGGTTGGAATCCACAACATACCAACATGTTTTCTGTCTGTGGACACAGTTTCAGGCTGATTAGGTCAAAGGCATCAGAAAGCAACCGTTCAGAGTAAAACATGACACTTCCTGTTCTCAGGGCGCGTGGCCTAAGTGATGTCATCATTTGACCATTGGTCAATAGTAGGGCACCCGATGATGATCAATCACTGAAAGTTTGGTGCCTCTGTGAGGTTTTGTGTAGGACTTATAGCAGTTTCGAGTTTCATGGCGAATAGGTGAACTTTGACCCCAGGAAACCCCCCTTTAGCAGGCACAAAAATGCAAACCTGTGATAACTTTTAATCGGCCATGCCTTATGAACGATCTGACCAAGTTTGAAGCCGATTGATCGAAATTCCTAGGAGGAGTTTGATGAAATGTGAAGGCTGTAAACGGCTAAAATGGGGTCAAAATCGGACCTTCAATCCAAAATGGCTGACTTCCTGACTTTGACTTTGACTTGCACTATGACATTAATTGTAATTTCTGTGCATCTTGGGGAGCTCTACAAGTGTACCAAATTTCATGTCTCTATGATGAAATAAGGTAATAGGAAAGGATCTTTTGAAAGTTGCTAGGTGGTGCTGTTGAGCCGTTTCTTTTACGATTTTTGCGAGACCTTAAAATACGTAAATTTTACACGGGCTGTATGCGTCTGCCAAGTTTGGTGAGTTTTTGAACATGATAAAGTCCCCCAAAGGCTCCTTCTTTAGGGGGGCAGAATCGTAATAATAAACACAATGATTTCAATAGGCCTTCGCCAGCGCTGTTGCTGCTCGGGCCTAATTACTTTACTACAGATTTTCCTTTTTCCTACACCAGAAACCCCACAATAAAAATCTTTGTTCTCTTAGGCTTTCTGTCATCCCACACACAGAAACACAGCTGAGAGCTGCAGTCTGTAACAGTAATGTTAATGATTGTACAACAATAACGCATCAAGTTTTTAAAGTAAAATAAAGCTAAAATTCATGAATTGAATATTTACAGTTCCTGTGCTGAGACATTCTGGTGTTCAGGAAGGAGGAACATTTCACAGATTCAACTGCACCAGAGGAACAAACTTGATTCTATTTTTTTTATTGTAAATATTAAGCACAACCGTTGAGCTTTACAAACTGTTGGTAAAAACTGACTAAGCATAAAACATTCCTATTTAACCGTAACCCATTCATGCAGACAGGGTTATCTAGACTGGTCAGAATGCAAATACTTTAGAGACACTATCAACATACTCTGGAAATGGTAGCATTAGCATTAGGGCTGAAGGATTAATTGTGATTAATTGATTATTAAACTAAAGGAATGCTGTTTTTGCATTACGGGCAACAATATATATATATTTTTTAATTTAAAAAAGGATTTGAATTGTTTATTTGCATATTTTAATGTATTTCTAACACTGTATAAAAATGCATAAGTAGTTAAATGAAAATCTGCAGAATTTGCCAATTTTTGGCGTATTCTGCAATTAATTAATCAATTAATCGTCCAAATTATGAATGACTAAAACAATTAATGCTTGTTGATTGACTGGAAGAGGCCAGCCATAATTAACATGGAATTCAAGGATTTTGCTGTAATTTCAGTAATCATTCTCTTAAATTTGTTATTCAGATGGGTTTTTTTAAAATTGTGCTGACATCCAGACAGACTCAGTAACTTTTCATAACCATCAGCAGGGGTTTCGGACGCAGACAGATTTCACCATGACTTACATAAATGCTCTTACATAAGAATACACTCACATTCGTTATGTTTGTTTTTTTGTAGCAAGGGGCGTTTAAGGAGGGAGTGTGTATGTTTATGCATGTAGATTTTTGATGCATACTTGACTCTGTCCTTGGAGTCTCCAAAGGTCTCTTTGAGGGTGTTGAAATCGGGGTAGTAATGCTGCGACGGGGAAACTACCTCCAGTAAACCAGACTGCACCTCCTTTGGAAAACTACAGAGGACAAAACAAAACAGGAGTCATATTTTCTTAAAGCAGTGCATTATTTTGAAGTCAAAAGGAAATATGTTTGATGCGTTTTATTTTTAATTTGCAGAAACAAAATAAACAGTATGGTGAGCATATGTATTCAGCCCCCATCACTTCCATCAGCATCAGTGATGTCTTCCTACTGTACCTTAAGACAGTGAGTAATGATTCCATGTCACTGTTGGACTTGCAGAAGGCCTGCAGCTCCAGGTCGCAGTGGAAATAATGTACAGACCAGTGATTGTTATTATCCTGTGTACTTTTCCACTTTCTCCAGCTTCCTTTTGTTTAGTGTTGAACAGGCCCTCAGGCAGCAGCTCATATTTCTATAAAAGTATCGACTTATGTAACCGTCACTGCAAATGTATGGCTGGGCTTGTTCTTAAATGCATAATACTTGGCATGTCATACAGAAATAAAACTTTCTGTATTCGACTTCAAACCAATGATTCTGAAGTGATGACTTCACCGGCCGTCACCTTTGAGATGGAGATGACAGAACTCATCCATGTGACATACGCACATTAAAACCACCCAACCAATACAAAGACAAAGCAACAGCTTCATAAACCTGAACTATTAAAATAATCACTAAGATCCATGTATCAATAAAAAATAAAACTATGATCTAGTGTGCTTCAGGTATCCCTTGTTCAGAAAGAGTTTTTGCAGGGTTTCGTTTTTATGAGTGGGACCATCTGTCTTCTCCAGACTGCCAGCAGCTCAGAGGAGGATTAGGTCTGTCGCAATAAGCAATAAATCAATTAATCACATGATAAATAAAAACAAACTCAATAATTTTCATTTGCAAGATTTATTGTTTTTCTCTTTTATCTCTTTCTACCAAAAACTGGATGATAAACGTCTTTAGTCTGGTGCTTTGCTCTCTACTAGCTCTCTGCTTGAAGGACAGTTTTGTTTACAGTGACTTCATTATTTATTTTATTTGTTGTTTTTTGTTATTTTGTATATTTAAAAAGTCTTCCAGTTCAAGTCTAAAATATCCATAAGAATTTAAAGTTTATTGATCTTTGAGAATGTGTTCTTGCATTGCTATGTCATTACC